GAAAAAAAGGAGAGAAAAAGAGAGAAAAAGAATGGAAACAGCCGTAGAATCGATCGTGAAAGAGAGATCTCGACACTGAACGTTCGATTCGATCGAGTCACGTTTCCGATCGTGATCAATTAATCGCGCGCTGGTAAAAAAATTCAAATAGAGCGAACGGTGAGCCTTTCGCCGAGACCTCGGGCTTGCTAGCAGGCGAGATTCGAGGCAAGCGATCCGACCTTCGTTAAATAGGTTTACCTTGACGCGATCAATGAAACCAGCGAAGCTGAAAAGCAGCGTCGGATCGAAGGACCCACGGCTCTCTTGTACGTGCACGATTCGACAGGGAATGCGTGAACGTGACACGTAATCCAGTTGCTTTCCAAATTTTGTTACTTCTCGAAACTTTTCAGAGAAAGATCGAACTGCGATCTCGATGCACCAGTCCAAAGATAATTCGAAAACATTTCTCAATGTTTCATGCCTCGTAGAATACAACATCTCTGATTTTCCTTCCAACTTTTCTTATTCATTTATTTTTCACGGATCTTCGTCTTCGTTTAGAATTTCTATTTTCACTGAGTTACGTCCGCGAAGAGAGTATTATCGTTAAACGAATCGAAAGAAATCCATCGTGGCCAGCAATACCATACGAAAAATCGTACTTCCGCCACAAATCCACCAATTGACACATCACGGGTTCACCGTTCTCCACGATCGACCGTTGGAAAACCTCGCGAGATCGCGTTTCCATCGCGCGGCAGCGCAACAGGGGCTCGAATACTGGCCAGAAGAAAATAATAGAAGCAAGCAAGTATGATCGGTGGTGTCGGGTTGGATAACGAGCCGGATGATTTACAGTTTATCCTTACACCTCCATTTACGAACCGAGGAGGAGGACGCTGTGCGATCGCTTTAAATTCGCTCTCGTTGATGCAACTGGTCGCTGTCGTTTCATCGAAAAGGGCAAGGGGAGGTGGAGGAGGAGGAGAGAGAAGGTAGAGGAGACGGTCTGTTTCTCATCATCTCTCGAGGCCCTCCGTGTTCTCTCTTCTTATTTTCTGAATGTCCCGCGGTATCGAGCGCGCAACATTGTTTTTCTCCCTCCTCGTCTTTCCGTCCCTCATCTCTGTCCGTCCCTCTGTGGACAGGCTTTTTGGGATTCCTTTTTTCCCTTTTTCTTCTTTTTTTCAACATGGCTGGACACACCGGTGTGGACCTTTTACCACGGACACGTACGCCCTTCCTCTCCTCTCTTTTGCTTCTCGTAATGATCGCAACGCTCCGATGCACAACAGCCTCTGGAGCTGCATAACCGGAGGAGAAGGAGGATGCATCCTCTCCACGTACAACGATCGTGTTTGCCTCTGTTACGCTACCCCCTCTCTCTCTCTCTCTCTCTCTTTATTCACGGTTTATGCTCGATTGTTATGTTATAAATTATTATCGTGTTATTACCGTGGTGGTGCTGCAGCGGGCGCGGTTTCGGTCAGGCGGCCGAGCGACGGCTTTTTTCCCGTGAAATCGTGGTGGCGAGGGGTTTTGCGCTCTTGTGGGGAGGTTTGTTTGTGGATGGTTAGAAGAGTTGCTGCTGTGCCAAGGCACGACGGATCGCCAGTTTTTCTCATCGATTCAGGGTTGTTTCGCGGTACTAGGAAAAATTTCTAAGTAGCTCTGATTTGCGATTCAGTTAGCTCGGTTTCTGTTCGAGTGAACAGATTGGACGAATAACGAGGTTCAATTTGATCTTCTTTTAATCCTTTGTTGTAGCTACTCTTGGCGATTTTATTTAGTAACCTTTCGTAACTCGAATATTCTCCGTTCGCGAGGAGAAAAATGATGATTTATCATTGATAAATTTCACGGTAGGGAAAAGTGGAAGTTTGTAACGAGGCTTTATGGAGACCGGAAGTGGATAGTTGCGATTTTCTGGCTGTAAGTCAGCCGATGTTGTCGCGCATGGAGGAGATCCGGGATCGTTTAGTCAAATACCATCGGCAGAGGCGGTAAATCAGGGAAAACCTGGGGACAGTCGTGTGTTCCCTTCTTCCCCGTCCGGAAGACAAATGTCAGCGGGGAGTTTGAGGGCTGAGGAGGGGAGGAATCGTCTCGTCTGTCTCTCTCTCTTTCTTTCTGGCCGCGTAGATGCATGGTCTCGCGGACGGTAAATCAAGTCCTGGTGATATTAAAAGGCCGCTTATACGCGAAAACACAAGATTTATTTCTGCTGAAAAGGAGAACCGACAAGAAATCGCTGTATACGGCCCGCCCAATCAATGGACAGGGTGAACTGAGGACGAATGGGGACCGGATGAGACGAAGAAGGATCGAAGAAGTGAGAGAGAGAGACGAGAAGGCAGAAAAGAAGATCGAGGAAGAGGCAAACGCACGCGGAGAGCTGGGAAAGCTGGACGATAGTCGAGGAAGAGGAGGATTCTCTTGGAATTAGAATGAACTTTTTCCTCTCTTCTAGGTTTCTCTAATTGCAACGTACATCGTTACTACACTTATTCAGATCGGACGATCGTAAAGGATACGTGTAATCAAAGTGAAATTAAACGTGGAACCAGTAGAGAAGAACTATTGGCACGTGGACAATCGACGAAAGTAAAGTAGAGGAAAAAGGAGGGTAGAAAGGATGGGGAAGGTTATCGAGGGTGTTGGCGAGTGAAACGGAGAGGATATTCACCCCCTGTTTCGGTCGAATAATCGTGTCGTCCTCGTCGAAAGCGGTTTGCTCCAGCTAATATCGAGCCATCGCCCACATTCAAAGGGATGTCGGGGAAGGAACGGTATTGTTGGTCCCCTTCGAGGCGATTCTTCTTCCCGGCTTGTCACTTTTTGACGTTGCTAATGAAAAGATTGCTGTATCAAGGAATACACGTGAATCGAGAAGATACTTTATTTACCTCTCCTCTCCTATTCATTCCACTTTATCTTTTCCTCTTTTCTACGATCTGTTCGATCGGAAGTAAAGAACGTTTCGCAATTTTCGAGCCGGTTCGAGAATACTCCAATTAAGCGAACATTCGTTGAAAAGAGCAACGCGAATCGCAGCCAGATGATCCGCATACCAGACGAGATGTCTCGATACGTCTCGGATATCCTTGTAATCATTGCGGTTTACATGATCACTGCGGTCGAGATATCATTATTCAGTACCGGTGCGTAATATCCTGCTCTATGCACGAATGAGCCTGGAGACAACGCGAAACCCTGCAAGACTTTAATCAACACGAGGATCTGATAGCCCACGTCCCCGACAGTTGCGCTCCTCTTTCGAAAGAAAGAAAAAAAGAAAAAAAGAAAAAGCAAAAGAAGAAGAAAAGTACAGCGTAAAGAAGGATGTTCTTTGCACTCTGCGCAACGACACAGAACGATTTCAATTTCATGCTCCCGCTTCGTGTTAACCCCGCTGGTTGTTGTGGCTATGGTACAATCGCTTGCTTTTCCTTTGCCAGCCTATTTTTCCATCAACGATAGGCGTGTCGGGACATAAATTGACCACGCTGATTGCAAATTGCACGTTGAAGCGCGATTCCAATAGCGAAGAGATTATATCTCGATCGTGAGAAAAAAAAAAAACGAATCGGCAGAAGGTCAAGTGGAGTGGAGATTATCGGGATATTTCCGAGCGATTTCCTCGAATGTCGCCAGTGTGACCCTTTCCACCACTTCCTCTCTCGCTGGCCATAACCACCCCCTTGCACCGCAGGAGTTCTCTTGTTTTCCTCCTCCATCTCCTGGGAGCAATAATCGCCGCGGGCCGGAAAAATTCCGCGACAGAAGTTAAACAAAGCCTCGAATGAGAAATTAAAAAAAAAGGAGAGGATACTCCATGTCCAGAAGTGGAGGAGGAAGGGGGGCACATAGAGGACACGGACAACAGTGTCCCTGGTTCGACTGTAATAAGGGTGACCAATTTTCTCCTCACCCCTACTCGTTCGACTGTTTGAACAAGCCTCATAATTAATACGCATACTCGCTTCTGGAAAACCGGCTCGAGGCTAGGGAGACATTTTTTAAATCCTCCGCTACGGATATTTGCTCTTCCTCGCGGTTTCCGCGAGCTTCCTGCTTTCTCCTGCTCCTTTCTCCCCGACCCCCCTCTCGTCCACCCTTAAACGCATGGACGAATTTTCTGCTCTTTTTTTCCCCTCTTCTTTTTTCAACGATCGACTCTGAGGTTTTTAAACCCCTTCGCGCTCGTAATATCGAGTCGGAATCGCGGCAGAGATTACGTGATATCTCGTTCCAACGATAAAGTTGCAGATCGCTGGAAAAAGCTGAATTTTTCAGCAGAGAAGAGAATCTCTGAAAATAGTTTCGTAATTTTACCGTTTAAACGACGATATATTAAAGATAAGACGTGCATATGTGAATTCTTCGCATTTTTCGAAATGAAAAATCGTGGAGGGTTTAATTATCGTCGTTTCCATTCGGAAGATCCAGGCAGATTTTACTGGAGCTCGGTACGATCGCGTACCTGACTCGTTTCGCGGGAGATATCTGTCTTTAAGAGCATTATCTGGATGGTGGACGGGTAGGGAGACGGCAAAAACCGTCCGCCCCCTCGTGGTATGTGAAAAATGATGCACAACCCCAATCCCCTGACACATTCTCTCCACCCCCGTGATCCCCCCCTCACGGAATGTCCCGAAGGAAGCAGGCGTTCCTCCTCCTCGTCGTCTTTCTGGTCCACGAGCCCGAAAGACGTGTCACGGACGAGGTTGCATTATTCGAAACGATTAACTGGCTGACAGTGTTCCGTAAAAAATAATCCTGAAAATATATTTTTAATGCCTGGGGATTTATCGTCGTCGTTGCGAATGACAGTAGAATTCGTGGGGAGGCAATTGGAATTTTAATAGAGTTTCTCGTCCATCGATTGTGACTTGTTCGTTTCTAACGATTTTGCGAATTGAATTAAGAACAGAAAACGTTTTGTTTTTTATATATAATAGTTTTTTTGCGATGTTTAACAAGGATTGAGAGAGGGGTTTGAATTTTTCTTTCAGATACGCTGAAATATTCTCGAAAACACCACCCATTGGTATCAGGAACGGTGTTCTTCTCTGCGAGCCGCACAAAGGACTGCTCTATTCGCCTAGCATTACCAATGATCTGTAAGTAAAATTCTTATTTTTTATTTTAATTCATCGAGCATACAAAAGTCAGCTGAGATGATCTTTCTCGAGTTTCTTTTAAAAGAAAAGTATCCAAATGGGAACGTTTCTTTCGAAGAAGTGAATGTTACACTTCATCCTTCTCAAAGTTCTCTCGCATCTCTTGACAACTGTATTATAAAGCGAAAGTGCGTGATCTCTTGGCACAGCTTTCTTCCTTTCCCCGTCCTACGAATACACGTGATGTGATGGATACACGAAAATGTCACCAACACGCCCCCGGGGCCAACGTGGCAATCCACCCTCTGACCATTATGCTAAACCATTGTCCACTATCTGCCTAAGATAGCCGACGGCTCGAATCTGTTCACCCTATGCTCCATCCAGACTGTTAAAAAATCATTCTGTTCGTCAATCTTCGACCTTTCGTCTACTCCTTCCCATTTTTTTCAATATCTCTCATTCGTTCGAATAGAATTTTTCTACAATCTTCAGACATTAATTGTATCTTTCTGTTCAGTCGTGTAATACGAAATATCAGATTTCTGAATAAACAGTTGAGATCAATTGAGCGTTGTGGAAAATTCCGTCTTTTTTTTGTCGCGTTCACTTAACCCTTTCGCTGCACGGTGTTTCGATCGAAATAACGGGAATCATATTCGACAACGCGAACGATATGCCGTGTACGTTTTTTTCTACCTTCTACTCGAACGAGAATTTCTCCGATTCCCAGCCCTTTTTCTCCGGCTGCCTCCACGATGCATCCACCATTATTCGAGCGTTAGGCAAATACACGAGAGGAGAGAGGACAAGCTCGTCCGCGCGGTTTTTGCCTCGTGAAAATTCAAATGAGACCGCGCGGCATATTGCGCTGAATCGAAATTAATGTCGCGCAACTAATTATCGGTCGAGTGTCAGCATCTCCCGTCGTATCGCGTCGCCCCCATATATTTCTCCTCGTGTTATCCCCCATCGTTAATTTTTAATCGCAACCCTCTCTCGCCTGTGACAATTCGCCGATTGGTATCGCTTCGACGTTCTCTCGATTCTTTCCAACCGGAGGAATTTACAATTCGCACCGAAACACATTTTCACTTTTTCCATCAGTTTCTTCTCTCGTGAACGCCTTTGAATCTCTCTCGAAGTCGCGTTTCAACGTTCAACCAAAGCAACGATAGCTATGGCGCTGAGTTTTTTTCAATATTCCCTCTGTACACACGTAATGTTCCCATTTGTGCCGATAATTGAACCGAGAAAATTTTCGCGATCACGAGTTACCTACCGCAATTTGTGTCTCTCTGTGTGTGTGTGTGTGTGTGTATGTATTCGCGTGATTTTTCAAAAGCGTTATCGATCATAGAGCGCCGCGAGATTCCGGCGTGTGGTGCTGCACGAGCTTCAGGAACCACGCCAGGATCGGGCGAACAATTGCGAGGCAAAAAGCTGGAGCCGGTGCGCGGCAAGAAATTTCTAATTTGCGGTATAATTAAGGGAGACGTGGCAAAAACCGTCCACGGATTCTACACCGTTGTCGGAAAATCGCGAATTCCACCTTGCGAATATATACGCCCCTGGGTCGGATCGCGCAGCTCACAATGCCGATTCCCCGTTGTGTGCGTTTCATTATGCGCCAGCGATTGTTGAGTAAATAATTGATCGAAGATCGCTTAAATATGTTGATCAACGGGGGGCGGAAGGATGAAACGCGTCGGTAAAAACTGCGGGAGCAATTGTACCGAGAAACGTTTTCTGCGTCTCTCTTTTATGTATTTATTATACGTGACTGTTTAGTTGGATTAAAATCCACGGAGAGGAGAAAAAACTGTTGCGTTATTTGATAACAGAGATATACGAAGTTACGAGCATTTTATCGTATTTTTTTTTTTGTTCGTTTTAATTAGCTTTTATTTAATAAGCTGCGCGTTTTATTTCCTGCACGGTGTATTTCAATTGTTACAGGTATACTATAGTGACAGCGGAAGAGTGGGCGAAGTTGATGCAGTTTTACGACGTCGATTATCCAATCATCATTAAGAAACGCGAGACAGACTTCGATACAGACCCGAGTGAGTACTTGAGATACAACAAAAATGTTCAATCATCAACCGTATATAAACCGTCGCAAAATCCTATTCACATAACAGCAGAAATAAGAAACGATATTTCCACTTTTTTATCCATCTACTTTCGTCGTTACAAATGATACAGTAGGCTCGTTTCGCCGAGAGTGTAATTATACGTTAATTAGTTGATCAGAAAACAGTGTTAAGTAATTAGGGATAATTCGAGGAAGGAAGAAGTACTTAACTGTTCCTTGCATTTTCGTGGCTGGTAAGAAGAAAAAAATGACAAGTAAATAGATCGATCCTAACGTTACGATTATCATTGCACATGGTGCCACGACGATCGCCGTATCAATTTCCTGGTACGGTGCAGAGATCCGAAGACTGATCGCGCAATTAACGGCTTTCTCTTTTATTCCATCCTGGGACCGTTCGATCTTATCGGCAATTAATTTTCGTACGATTCCGGGGGGGTCATTATGTAAACGATCGTCCCTAGGCGGATCGTTACCGCTGCTCCCCCATGTGTCTCCTTCTTTTTCCTCTGTTCGTGTGTATGTATATGCGCGTGTATACACACGAGACAGGTCTAATTATCGGTACACAATCTCTCTCACGAGCACACATACACACACACACACACACACACGACACATCGTTCATCTGTGCTACGAGTGATTTTTCCTTTTCTCCATTTTTGTGTTTTTTTTTTTTAAACTGGATCGTTCAATACGCGTGTAGGATTTATTTGGGGACCTGAAATCGCGGCGGCAGCCGCCTGTGTGTTAGCCGAAGACATTTCTCTTCGCGACGAATTTCAACCTGCAACCGGATCTCCCGATCCGGTTTGAATTTATTTGTGACTTAATCGAATCGAGGAAATGGCGGACAGTTTGCTGTTACAGTGAAATTGCTGGACGTTTCTTTTTCTACAGGCTGTAAGTAGCTTGCTAATAGGGATAGGAATGCTTGTACGCTGATTGATCGAACGTTCGATGCTTTGATAAAACGATCGTCGTTTTCACGTTGTCGTTCCCTCACGTTTCGTCAATGAACGTGTGTGTATATGTGTGTGAAAATTCACGTCGTTTCTCTCTGTGTGTCGCGCACCCCTATAGTTATGCTAGCCCGAGGAATAATGCCAGAAGACATTAGCCATTGATTTACATAAATACCCCTGCCCGCGGTTGTTTCATTCCCTCCTCCGGGTTGCCAGACCCCAAATTGTGTCTCATTATAATTAAGAAGTATCCTGAAAATGAACCGGCGGAAAAACAGGGCCAAGAGAAGAGACGAGTGGCGGTGGTGCCTGGTCTAAATGGGCTTCTAAAAGTTTCTCGCCCTTGGTCTTTCTCGGTTCGATCCAGGAATTCCTTTCATTGCTATGAATTTCATTATCTTATCGTTATTTCTTCACAACATTGCGTTTGAAAAATTCTAATAATACTAACAACTAAATCGAAACCGTTTAATTTCATCGTACAGTCATTCTTCGTATGAAACACAGTCGTTCAATTCTGTTGGACCTACCACAACAGGGCTCCCTCCTCCATTCAGAGGAGGAGTTTGTCCGTTTTGGTCGTCGTTGATCAGATTTACGCGGCCGATTGAACCGGCCACGCGCGAGCAAGCCCACTTTGTCGAACGAGTGATCCTTGTCGTCTGGATGGCAGGCAAATTGGGTCCCGAAGGTAGCACCAGGGGGATCCCGTGGACCGATGTTCACGTCCTTCGTTCGCGCACCAGAGGTACCGGCGTGTCTTTCGCCCGTTCGAGTATCCCTCTAAACATCCCATTGTCTTGTCCGTCTCTCGGTCGCGGATGGCGCGGCTTTTTTTCCTCCACGACATTTGTCAAGGCTCTGCCTCGCCGGGAATCGTCTCCACCAGCGAGATGGGGTCATTTGAATTGCAAAGAGTGGCTACTTGAATAGCCCGGCGTATCCGACTCGGGATATCCAACGGCCGGATCGCGGATCGCCCAGATGGAGATGTCGTTTAGGGTTAAAACTAAAGAGTGATTTCGTGCCTCTTGATCTACATCCACGATTGATCTTGTCCTTCGTGCTCTCTCTCGTTCACATTTTCGACCGAGGTTTTCTTCTTTCGGCACGGAACGATAGTGAGTCGGTTTGTGGTTAACCGAAGATAGTACAGTTTTTGGAAATGAAACTTTTATTAAGGGAAGACACTTGTTCTTGGTTACAAATCTCGTGAGAAGTATGTGCAAAGAGCAAGAGTTTAATCCATATGGATATCATTGTTTTGTAATTAAACACTGTAACATTGGAACAACGAAACTCGTCAAGATGCATCGTTAGTAGCGGTGGTAAAACAGATATCATTTCCACGAGAGGAAGCTTCTAAAAGACGTTTCCACAGTGGCTCGTTAGTCGTCGATCGTCTTCACCTTGCCATTAACCGGGTGCAGTCGCACGAGAAACATCTCGTTCCCCGGTTTTCCAGTAGCGTCGTCATCCGGGGATGCCCGGAGGGTGGTATTCAATCGCGTCACCTCCGGTTCTGTCAAGCGGCTCCGACGAACGAGCACCCAGGGTTGTCGAGTGATTGATACGAGGTTGGACGGTGCCTAATGTGCCTCGGTGAACGACGAAGAAAGAAAACTGAGAAGGCGGTGGATGAGAAAGGGAGAGAGGACCACCCTTCGAGGCTTTAAGAGTGGAACGATCGTCCGGCAGAGGCTCGTTAGTCAGGGCCGTATCACTCACCAAAAGCAACCCCCGATTTTTTGCCCAAGTTGCTGCTGGACCGAGTACACTCGCGTTCTCTTGCCTCGCTTTTGTCCACTCGGGACGTGTGCCCTTAAAACGAGCTAAATTGTCTGTTTACTCTGGACTCTTGTCTCTTCTAACTGCTAGCAATCCTCTTTTGTCATCTGATAATCCGTGGATAATGAAATTCAACCCTCTCTCTGTGGCTGGATAATAATTATGGTCTTGGTGTTTGTTACTTGGTTACTCTGTTGTTAATTCGTGATAAAAACACTTGGAAATTATTTATATTAAAATTGTCATCTCGGTTTCTACAGTCCCGTTAGTGCTAACAGGCTTTTTCTTCGACGAGCCCCTCGTCCAGCAGCGAAAGGGTTAACACGAAGGGAGAAGTTGGATTAATTATTCCCTTATGGATATCAGAACGGGCAAAAAGTATTGCTCCTGATTCGTTTTCAAAGGGTCCTCGTGGTCCTTCGTTTTTCTACACGTTCTCGACTTCGAGATCGATTCCCAGGAAGCGGGACTTTTCAATGCAATTAAAACTCTCGGCGTCCACGGTGTTTCGATTCCATGAACGACAGCCGTAAATATCGCCTAGGCGGCAGCCGGTGCTACAAATCAGCCAGTAGCTACGGTACTGTGCTGTTGCTGTATCGCAAAACCTCCAGAGAAACGTCGTAGAGACGGAGAGCCACGCGTAAAGGGGGAGGTTTTCTGGGCATCGCTGCCAAGTGAAACAGACGAGAGAGAGAGAGAGATGGTCTCTCGGATTAATATTCGGACGGCGATTTAGATTTAGAACACGAATTTGCTGATTAGTTTCCTACGGCATCGGTCGACCACGCTGCACCACACCACTCCTTCCATAAATGCTGAGCCTGGAGGGGTTGCCTCAGACCGCCTTTTGACTCGAGATTTAGTCTCGAAACGAACGGAGGTGGGGTTCAACTTACCAAGGGTCAAACGCTTCAGGAGGGACATTTGTTAGCCTTTCCCCTGCGCGCTGCGACAAGTGCGCCGGACACGTCTTAATATATGCATTCACCGACCAATGAACACGACTTTACGACTTGTTCCATGGGTTCGTTGCTTGCTTTGGAAAATGAATTTCTGTTTCGAGGGGAATTTGATAAGAGACTTTCGTTCAGTTTAAGACACAGTACTATATTTTCACAGGTCACAGGTCTCGAAGGGTTAAAAATTTTACGAATCAAATCGTGATATTTTTCTCCACTCTCTGATATCAATTTTAACACGCTAGACAATTCCGCTAAACTATCACGCGTGAATAGCGGTCAGTGAGAGGACGCGTAAACGGCGACGTTAGCCACGGACAATTAAAAGGATTCATCAGTTCGCGGCCGGAGAAAATAATGTCGTAAATTAAAGTGGAAGTGGAGCAGGAGGAAAGTCGGAGCGGGTCAAGTTTCGAAGGGTCGAATTAGCGACGTCCCGCCGCTTTCTCGCTCCTTCTCTCTTCTCTTATCCTGCAGGATATCCCCACTTGTCTCCACGCGACGGGGGGGTTCTTTTCCAGTAGGATTAAATGGAGCGCCTAGATGACCGATGCTCGGCCATGCTCTCGCGAACGAGAGAACGAGGGGTGGTTGGAAAACAAGATAAAACGAGGATAAAGCTTCGCCTGGAAACTCTCGCCCTTCGCCAGTGACAACGGCTCCAGGGTGTCCTGCGACACTGACAGCAAGGAGCCTTCGTTAATCCAGAAGCCTAATCGTTTGGATCGCTTCTCTCGAATCCGTTGTCCTTTCCTCCTCTTTTTCTCTCCTCCTCCTCCTCCTCTTGGGAGAACTGAGAGACTGGGGAATTTTAGGTCGTTTGCAATTTTCGCTCTTCACTTATCCTGGGCACCTGAAAGAATTATTAATTGCACGAATGTTTATTTGTTAATTTACGATGAATTCTAAGATTTTTCATCGGCACAGAAAGGTACCAAATCATCAAAAATTAGCAACTCTCGTTGACAACATTTTCTCGGTACGTGACGAATGAATTTGAAATTTTCTCCACCGGTTGGAAAACTTCGATTCGCAGTCGGTTACACGGTGAAATTTCGCAAATTCATCGCGGTTCTTCGAAGATGTGTTTGCCCGCTTAAAACAAGCCGTAAACCGCGACTCTCGTTTAATTAACCCGGCGATCGAGGATCCATTAGGGAAGCGAAGGGGTCCTCTCCTTTCGATTTTCTCGAAAGTGAGGCGGTCCCGGTTGCGGAAGCGGAAAGCCGCGTGTAATGCCCGCTTTTAAGCCCCGATTACACGCGCAGCCAGCTCTCTCTCGTGTAAGAGGATTATATTTCGACTTTGTTGTGGCGCTCGAAGACGTTCGTTAGCGAAATCGTTACGGCGACGATCTTCTCCTTCTTCGACGAGCGTCGTTAGAGAAACCGCTGCTCCTTGGATTTCTCTAAATTCCTCCTCTACCCGTCATCTTTAACTACTGTACGACGATATCTGTCTCTTGCGCGCGAGGCGTATCTATCTTTTTTACTCCTGTTTGCTCGAGTGAAAGAAATTTCGAACGATTCGTAGGATCGGAATGAAATCGTTTCTCGGTTCACCAGAGGTGGGGAAAAAATCATTATTTACTTGGTGGCTGTGATCAGAACGCGGCGGAAGAACTCGAAGCATATTCGAGGGTGGCCGAGTGTGCCTCGCCGAGGGGCCGGGAAGCATCAATCTTTCATTCACGAGACGAATTCGAGGTTATGAATGAAAGTCGCCTGGACCTTTTAATATAATGTCGCGCCGCCTGTCCTCGCGCCTAACGTGCCTTCGATTTTGATCGAATACCCGAGAAATTTCATACAGTAAGCGGAAATCTCTGATTCTCCTAACTCGTCAAAGACAGAATCTCCACATTTTTTTCTTTTTGTCGTCTCTGATCTGTTGGAAATTTGTAAAGTTAGTCGTTTCCCCATTCGAAAGCTGGAATTGGTCGGTTCTTCTCGTAATATCTCGGAGTGCAGAATTTCGAGACAAATTGACCGGGTTGCCTAGAACGCTTTTTCTGCCAAAATTCTGATTGCCCGGAGAACGAGTTTCCCAGAAAGACATTTCGGAGGGATTTGATTTTCTGGAACCGAGCGAGAAGTGGAGAAGCTCGTCGATCATCCGATTTCACGGAGCAGTATGAGTTTCCTGCATGCTTCAGTCCCGCCCAATCCTGTTTCCTTCTTCTCTTTTTTTTTCTCTCTCTCTCTTTTCGCTGATTTTTACCCCGCGCGAGCTCTCCTCTCGCGTCTTTCTCCCTTTCGTCTCACTATTAAGCCGATCCCCTCTCGTCGTCGCTGTGTCACGGCAGCGTCTTCCTGCGGGACGTCCGACACGGCTGTCCGTGTGTTCTTTTGATTTATCGACCTTAATTAGTCGAGGATTCTATGAAAATTACTAATGCGCTGCCCACATCGCGTTTCTTTGCTTCTGCGTTTCGCCTTCGAATTTGCCACGACCAGTTAGGACTGTTTGTCAAAAACGTTCTCGTGAAATTTCGCGCGTCAATTTTTTTCCGGCCTCTGCCCTCTGGTTTGCGCTCTGCGGAGTGGCGAATTTTATTAGGTGTAGGAAAGAGTTCGTTGCTTCTACTTTTGCTGTGTGTAAAATCACTTCGAACCGAGGTATCTTCTCACTCTTTAGGTGAATTGGAAAAATGGACACTGTACACTTGTCAAGAAAGCTTGTCACCTTGCTGATACTGACACAAAATTTTTACCGCAATAGAATTTTTTTTTTTTTTTTCAAATAAAGATCGAAATCGAATTTTTCCGAAAAAGCAGGGATCTCTTTTTTACGTCTACTCTATCTTCGGTTTTCTCAAGAGAAATGAAAAAAGAATTGTTTCTGTGAATTCCACGGTTAATCTGAAGACTCAGGTGCGTAGTTCCCCGATTAACTCAGGGAATAATGGAAGATCAGCCTGTAATTGGTTCCTTCGATGGTAATTGAAGTCTCCTCTGATTGTTCCATGGGATTGTACCCAGTGATCGATTGTACAGGACTTACGAAATCGTTCGATTCCTCTAATTAGACTTCTGATACAGATTTCATGGATGGTACAAGGAAAAGGACGAGTACGTTGGTAGTATCCTTGGACTTCCAGGTCGAACAGCGTGCAGAAGTGGAAGAAAAGTTCGATTCGTAGCCCCACGAGGGATTTCGGAATTTCGTTTCCATGCACGCGATAAAATCCGAAGGAATCGAGGCTCAGAGCCCAGTCGACGAAACTTCACTCCAAGCAGTCGATCCCAAGCCCAAGTTTTTGCCCCCTTTCGACGCCCGTTTATGGTTTCACTGCCCTCGGATGGCACTTTAGGGAAATACAGTCGAAGAGCGAAGCTATCGACAACCGGTGTACAGCCTATCGTGTATTATTAGCCAATAAAACCCACTTGCTGTTTGCTCGAGACACGCTCTCCTTCAATTCCGTTTTCCGACTTACATTTCCTCCACTTTGAAACTCGTTCCCCTTAGCTCCACATAATTTATGAATTATTAAACCAATCTCCCATATTTGGATCGCAATTTTACCTTTCGAAAATGATTTTATCGATTCCAGTAAAATGAAACTGGACTAACCCTTTCGTTCTTTATTAAAATAGCGAGATATGACAAAAAATGTTTCACTTTTAATGACATAATTAGTTCAAAAATGCTTTCAAAATGATATTT